TTTGAGCCACAAAACCCCTGAATGTAGGCAACTTGCGCTACACCGCCCCCCCTGTCGGCCGCCCCTTACTACGCCCCTGCTTCCTGCCCACCCCAGGTGTGGTGTGGGGCGGATGCGGCACGGAGGCCACTGTGGACACAGGGCCGATAAGCATAGGGCGGAGAAGCATGGAGCCGTGGCCGAGGGTGGCTTGGGGGGATATGTCACATGGGCGCTTTTCTCACTACGCTCGCTTCGCCTGTGACCCCCGCCCCGCCGCGCCCCGCCCCTCTTGTTCCTCAGGTTGTGGCCCCGGGCGGGCGCAGGGCGGGCGGCCAGGCGGCGCGGCATCGCGGAGGTGCGACTAAGAATAGCCCCGCCAGCTTGTACCGTCCCAGGACTCTCCCCCGGGGTCCTCCCATCCCCAGGGCACCGCGCCAAAGGCGCCCCCGGGCCGCGCCGCCCCGTCGTCGCCGCGGTTAGCTAGCCGACGTGGCGCTCATGACGCAGCTGCCCCGTCCGTGACACGACCACGGGGTCTGCTCGTTCAAAAGCTCCGGTCTCATCCAAGCGACCTTACGGCGCCGCATCGAGGAGTGCGAATCGATTCACCACGACGTGGCGCCTCTAGTGGCGCCTAGGGTGGCTCCTCGGGGGGTTCTTCGGGTGGCGCCTTGGGTAGTGCCCTCGGGTGGCCTCCTCGAGTTGCACTCTCTGGAGGTGCCTCGGGTGCCACCCCTTGGGTGTCACTCCCGGCGGGGCGCCCTCGGGTGGCGCCCTGTAGACTGATTCCGCAGAGCACTCAAGGCGGGTTTCTCCCTCCCTCCTAATGGCCGTGCCTCATGACTGCGACAAAGAAGGGGGTACTACAGGCCCGTGCGGAATCAGTCTGTTAGGCGTTGCCTACGCGCGAGCACATTCTGCGTCCAGCGGGCCCAGCACTCGGCGGGCACCCGACCCGGTGCAAGCCGGCACAGGCTGCTGACCCCTCCTGTCAGAGGCTTTTGGCAACGCACGGTCTGACAAAGCGCCCGCCCGTCCGCAGTACTGAGCGTCGTCGTCGTCTCGGTCGTCGTCATCGCCATCGCGTGGTGGAGGTCAAGGGACCGGGCCAGCCAAGACTAGAGGTACCAGAGGATCGCGACTCAGGAGGGCGCACGACAGGTGGCTCCAGCCGGTGGGTCCGCGCGGCACCAACGAGACGAGCCACCGGAAATGACGTGCGCGTGTTCCGGGTGTTTGTTTTTTTGAATGCGCCCTAAATGGTGTTGCGTGGGTTCGCCCGCAAGACGCCGTTGGCCCCTACGACTCTAGTCCCGCTACCCAACCGGGGATGCCTATCGGATCTGCGGCAGGTCGATGGTTCGACGTCTGCCCCTGTGATACTGCACCGGCGTGCATGTGTGTGAGCTGTGCGGGCGGGTTGCCTGCGGCCGCTGCGAGTAGGCGCCCCGACCACAGGTGGTGCTTATTGCACCGCCACCACCCATTGTGGCCCGAGTAGGCTGCAGGTTCAGATTAACGAGCGCTTCTATATCTACCATAGTAAAGAAATTTCTTATTTGAAACGTTTCTTAATCTGCTCCTCGTTTGTCTAGAACTCTACCACATCAGCTGCTACGGCGGCGTGGCCGGCCGGCAGCCGCGGTGGTGGTGGGCCCAGGGCAGTGGGACGCACGCCAGGCGGCGCCGGGCCGCTTCCACGCTTTAAAATCGTGCCAAAGGCGTAGAAAGCTAAACGCATCCTCTCGACGGCCACCACGACCACGTGGTGGAGGAAGCCTCTGCCGAACAACGGCCGCGGCCTGGGGGGTAGACAATCCGCGGGGGCGGCGCAGGACTCCTCGAGCCTGAGGCGGCCCGAGGGGTCAGAGGCGGCCCGAGGGGTCAGGGAGTGTCCCTGCCTTAGGCAACCCGAGCGCACGAGCGCACACGCCAAGGGCTCTAGCCAAGGGCAGCAGGGCGCGTCCAGCCAGGCCCGGCGGCCGCCAGAGGCTCAAAACAGTCGTGTCGGGTCACACACTCGCCGGCTCGAGTTTCTGGAGCACCAAGTCCTTCACGCGATGTGGGTGTCCGTCCGTGCGAGTGAAGGGCATGTGGTGGCAGGTAAAGAACACTTTTGGACCCTTATCTGGAAATAGTAGCAATAGGTCATCCATTCTACAGAACAAAACCGCTAGATGTTGCTAAATTTTACCAATGACCTCAAGGAAAGGGTTGTTTAACTTCCACAGTTAAGCTAGGTCCAATAGTAAAACAGAAATGTGATAACAGTTTCATTTCTTTCAAATTAGTGGAATCATAACGCAAATGACAGAGAAAGAAAAGAAAAGTAGAGGAATCATAACGCAAACAACAGAGAAAGAAAAGAAAAGTAGCGAATTGAAAATTTAACAAACACAGGGGACTAGAAAAAAATTAACAAGACATTACATTATAAATTCTGTGCAATTACATCAATTTGATTTGGTAAATTATTATGTCAGGAACTTATATGAACTTGTGCAAAAGAGCAGATCCCAAAACTTAAGGTTGCCATTTAAACTGGCCAAAGAATGAAAGAGAGCAAAAGTAATAAGTTTCGGTAGATATCAAAAATTTGTTCAGACTAACTTAAATTTCAAAACTATTTCATATTAAAAACTATGTCAAATATGGGAAATT